CAGGAATGAAATATTAAGGCCATAAAATACTTAAGCTACCATGAAATATATTCTAGCTACCATGAAATATATCATAGCTACTCTGATATATATGGGGAGTGAGCACCGAACTCCTCTATGGACGGCGACATTACAGGTTCTGGGATGCGAGCCGATTTCGAACGGTATCAGCACTGATGGGTTGCTGATAGTATGGGTTACTAATGGTCTGGCGAGCTGTGGTGAATCTTGTCATGCAGATGTTGCCACAGGATATAGCGATCTTGTCTTGGTGTTAAGACTCGGGGACGACCACTACGTAGACGGTCATCACTGCTGTTAGTGTTGTTGAAACAAATCCGAAGTCTGTCAATGGTTCGTACACTACAGTTAAATACATTGGCAATGACTTGAGCACGTTGTCCGGCATTTTATTTTATTGGCTTGTTCACGTTGAGAGGTTAGACGTGCCGTGAGCTCGCTGTCTTCACAGCAACTCGATTGCGTTGATTTTGGATTTTGAAACATTAAGTTTGTTATTTTGTAAGTCTTAAAGTACTCGCTTTTCTTTTGTTATTATGTATTGTATTTAATATAATAAACTCAACAGTTTTCTTCTCTGTTTTATTTATTTTCTTTTATTCAATGAGTCATTTTTCTCGGTCAGAATCGGACTTAATTTTTCTAGGTCAACATCGGGTATTAAGTACAACGGGGCGAAACTTACATTAGGTCTTACAGTCAACTTAAAACTAATTTTAATTTCATTGAATAGTCTTGAAAGATATGCCACACCAAACTACCGTGTTAAACTGTTTTTTTTTGGTGTATGAAAGATAACGTGCCAAACCTCCAGGAAAAGTCTCATTAAGAAAACTGTAAAACCGGCTACTAACCGCTCTGCTTCGCGCCACCTTACTTGTAGTGGGAATAGAATTTTGTCTTCACTGACCACTTGATAAACCGGAAAATGACCACGAAGTACACACCGGTAACACAATAATGACCAACCACCCTCATAATTATGTCAGTCAAACAGTTTATCAGTTTAAGGGGATACTGTCGTATAAATATTTCCTACATAGAAAGTACACTGTAAAAAAAATTTCCTTCCATTAACAGAAAAAATTCCGGCAGCTGATTTACCAGAATTTAAATTTTGCCTTCAGTTATATAACAGAATTTCTTGTAAAATATCTGCTTTAAATAACAGAAATATTTTACGACAAAATCTGTTAAATTACAGAATGACTAATAATATTTCCTGTAATTAACAGAAAATAGGAAGGATATTCTGGTAAATCAGCTGCCGGAATTTTTCTAATATTTCCTGTAATTTAACAGAAAAATAGGAAGAATATTCTGGTAAATCTGCTGCCGGAATTTTTCCTTCCAGTTCTGTAAAAAAATAGAATTTTAAAAAGGATATTCTGGTAATAAATCTGTTGCCAGAAATCATTTTCATTTTACTGTAAAATAACAAAACATTTCAACTTTATGTGTTTATTGGTATTATTTGTGCATTTAAAATAATCAGAGAAAATGATGTTAACTACACCTTTAATTATACATACAACTGAAAATGTGGGCGTATAAAAACAATCTCTTGCATAAAACAAATGATGAACTTGAAATACATACTCATCACTAATGACATCTTTAACATTCTGATTTAACTAATTCGGATTTAACTAATGTCTTTTTTATTTATGTTGACACTCTTTTCTCCACATAGCCCATATTTTATTAACATTGACAGAACCTGTGGTCAAGTAATGCTACTACTTCACTTTTTTTAGCGTTCCACAAGGTTATAAGACTCCATCATCCAGCGCAATACTGTTTATGATGCAACTCTAATCATTATTATAAGGCCTGTTTTGTTTTTTATGTGCACAGTTAATTGTTGCTCGTTCGAAAGTCAGGTCAAGTCTCATAATGCTCCGTAACTTTTAGCTGGTAAATAATGGCAGAAACTCTAAAGAAAGGGAAAAGGTGACATACCTGAAAAGATAAATTTAAAATAAGAAAATAGTAGTGTAGTAATAGTAGGGCACTGGATCTTTTAGTTCGAGAAATCCAATTCGCCCTCGTTTACGAATTTTGTAATGCCTCGCCCACGTTGACAAGAATATTAGTGACAGAATTCTCATTCCTTGTATTCTTGTACTCTGGTGCAATCATAACCGTAAAAGGATGTAAGTACAAAAAAAGCGAGGATGTACAAAAACAGAAAAAGAAATTATAAATTAAAAATAATAAAATAGTAAAGGCATAAGAAAGTGGATGAAATTTAAGATCATGATGCAATGAAACACTGTCACTTATCATGGGTGGCTGTACAAAATAATTTCTTAAAAGCAGGTTGCACAGTTTGACATTCCAAACATTTCATATAGTGTCACATGTACAAAGTTGGTGGGAAAACTGACTTGAGGGATCTATGCATAATTTGGCGCCATTTTGTCGGGTTTGTTTATATTTTGGTAAAAGTTTTCAGACAGCATGAAAAAACATAAAATTGCAATAGAAATTATGGATCCTGTGATATTTCATATCGTCGGAGGCTTTCTTATGTAATCGGGTATAAACTTACATTGCGGTTGGCTAAACCTGAAGATTTGAGAAATGAATTTGAGGACTTCATTGCTATGAAAAATTAATAATTTTTCTACTCTCTTAGACAGAAGAGTTCTAAACAGAAAGATGACTCTTGACAAGACTGATCTAAGTTTCAGACCACAAATACCACATATGTATAAAGTGATAAAATGGTAACATTACAAATTTATTTAGGCAATAATTAAAATACACTCACCTGTGAATTTGTATTCAGTGATCATTTCCACTCTACCCAAGACCAAGTAAGCTAAACCTATTCTAGTTCATTGTGTAGGATAAATTTAAGTCATTTTGTCGTTGTCCCCACACGCTTAAAATTCAGTAAAACATTTTGCAGTTTCTGACAAAGGGTGATAATAGAACAGGAATGAGTGGTGGAATATCGGTTCAGCATTTCAAGTTCTCCATGCATCTCACCATATTAAATTTAATTTAAGAAATTCACAAAAATCCCTTCGACGTAGCCTTCTTTTGATGTGGGATAAGATGGCGGCGTGACGATAGACTGACCTCGTGTCTTTACCGATGACGTCATACCTACTTTGATTGGCAGGTCGAAACTATCATATAACGCAAAATCACTTTTTCCGTAAATTAACTGCAATCCTGTTATAATTTAAGGAAACATAAAGTTCCTGTCAAAAAAACAGTATAACCACGCATGCGCAGACTTCGCTTATCTACAGACAAGTTTGGACATACATGATAATAACACAGAATTTACGTAAATTTACTGACAAATAACGTAATTGTTATAGATCAGCTAAAATAGTGACTGGTTAAACCAAATCCACCCATCCTCCAACCTCACCCCCAGAAATCGTCCATTAACCGGCATTAAATTGATCAATAGACGGCTCTCGGTATGGAAGGAGAGGACCCCCACTCATCCAGTTGAGCCACTGCACAAAATGATATATTAAATGCTAGAAATAGTATATCCATATATCTTGTGCTTCTTTATCTATAATTATTTGTATGTTTTATAAGCGGTATTACAAACGTTATCTCAATAATTCATTTACAAGTATTAAAAACAACTCAATGAAAGATTTCTTTCTGAAAAGAGATACGGGAAGATAAACAGAAGTTCTATTAGCTACTATTTAGAGGACATTATCCCTTTCAGAGTGGAAAAAATAACCAAAAGATCAACTTTAAGTGCTATATGGTAACCCGGATATAAAAATGTGGTCATTCAAGTTTGTCCTTTTTTTATACCGGAAATGTCAATCACTATTTCAATAGTGGTCGGAAAGCTTAAAGGCATAGTACCCCTTAGGATGACCAAAATTTGAAATGTTTAAACATGGTTAAAACGAGTCTTTATTCGTCTTTGGCCTTTCCTGGTGTCATAACTATACATCACTCTATAATCTAATAAATCTATAAAACTAAATAATAATTCATTAAACTAAGTAATTTTAAAACATGCTTAGAATATAGATGGCCCCACCAAACAGAGAAAACAAAAACAGGAGAGCATATGTTTAAAAAGAAATTCCCGGGGTAGGGGCCTCAACCTACTAAAGTCCACGAGCCACCGTTCATCTAATTGAGTCGCTGTCAAGTGTATTTGTATTTATGTTTTGCTTGCTTCATATCGTTTTGTTCCTCGTAGAATAAATAATCTGAATAATATTATATATTGATATACATTTTATTACAAATACATGGTTAGAAAGAAAAATATACACGCAAAGACGCCGGTTAAACGAAACGCAGCAGGTTACCACGAAAACGAAATAAGTTATCAGGTAAACGCAATATGTTATCAAGTAAGCAAAACAAGTTTTCAAGTAAAGGCAAAGCGCTATTAAGTAAACGCAGTAAATTATCAAGTAAACGCAACACGTTATCAAGTAAGCACGACAAGTTAGTGCAACCGGCAAATTTACAGCCAGCTGAACAACTTACAAAGCGATTGCAGCAGAGTACAGAGTAAACTCAGTTAGGTTGTTCTATTTAACACGAATGACTGTTTCTAAAAGGCGGTTGTTTTGATTTACATTTGGGTTGTTTCATGTATGAATCCATTATCGGTTGGGTGATATCATCAATGGTTGTACTGTTTCATAAACGGTTGTGTTGTCCCATAATCAGATGCGTGGTTTGATAAAAGGCTATGTGGTTTTATAACGGTCGAGTTGCTTCATAAACAGCTGTGTAGTTTTACTATGGGGTGATTGCATACACGGTACAGTTCTTTCATGGTCGGTTGTTCGGTCGTGTTGTTTCCTGAAATGGACATAAGCTATTGTGTGATTTCACGAACGGTTCAGGTTGTTTCGTATTTAGTTGTATTGTTCCATAAAAGATTCCCATAAAGAAGCCCCAATGAGTGTTTTTGCATTGTTTAAAACATGATTATGATTATGTTTCGCGTAGTTTGCATAAAATTAAGCTCTTGATCGCACAAAATTGGCTACCAGAGCACCAGCTAAGATCACAGTAGTCGCTTTCAACGTTACATCTGAGTACGCAGACATAGATTTTCGTAATTTGGTTAAATATCCAGAGTTAAGAGAAGCTAAAATGTCCTCCAGTTCTAGAAAATTGTCAATGTTGAGCTGAAATGCGTGTCTGGATTCCTCTATGAGTTCATAATACTGAGTACTGGTCAACTCTATTGCGTTCATCTGATCCAAATAAAACTGCTTAAAATGTTTCAGATTCTCGATTTTTTCGAACTCGTAAACCTTAGTCCCTCGTAGATCTTCCAGCTGCAGTCCCTTTTTGATCTTATGCTTTAAGACCTGACCACCGGAAAACTCTCCAAAGTAGCGGATAAAATTGTGAGCCACGAGTAGCTCTGGTTTAGTGGTAGAGATGAAGTTAATCCTGTCCATATAAATCTGAGTCGTAGGAGTTGGCTTGATTTTGTGCTTCCAGTCGTCCCCGTAAAAGAATGCCAGATCTCCGGCTAAGGCATCTTGTCTGTTCATCTCATCGGGATAGTACAGTGTTTTGAAGACGGGGTTCTCCTTACATCGATCGTTAGCTTCTTCCAGAGTCTTGTAAATAAAATACAGTTGCGACAAGTAGTAGGCGTAGTTGGAGCGGCTGATCGTACCCGTAACCATTGTCTGAGCGAAGGGAGTTAACTCTATATCGCGATGAAGATCGAAAGTGGCAAATAATATGGCTTGTTCAATTGGTGTGGTTCTGTCTTTGATGTACAGGCGATTTCTCGACACGTCGATTGTAGCTGAAATATACATAGATGGTAAAAATTAGGAAAGGTACAAGGAGGCTCAGAGGAAAGTCTGATGATTGCACACACCCCATCCCCTTTCTGGGTTTTTTGGTTTTTATACGTATGGTTTATATGTATTCGATAGGCATAGGCTTAGGAGGCAAAATATGAGTACAATCTTAGTACATGCTCGATACGAGGTGATAGAAGATGGCTTTGGGTTCACGTGTTGATCAATTGTAGACTAGTGCCATGTTGAAATTGGACTCTAGCCCAGGCATATAGCTCTTGAACGTCAAAACATATATTCAAAATCAATTCAGCAGTAAATTTAGATACTTGTGCTATTGTGGACAGCATGATGGCTCATATACCTG